ATTGAAACGATGAATTGAATTATTCCCGCGGAACGCGAGCTCCACTAGTGGGAAATTGGGGAAATTATATGGTTGATACTGATCTATATACAACACCTCCCCTTATTCAAAAGGTGTTTCCTATGGGAACATCTTTATTTGCTCTGTATTCTTGCTGATGACAGTATTAGATATTATAATTTCTTTCTTCGGATTAAGTTTTACATGATTGGTCTAGGATACTCATAATTGAACAAATCGAATCCATTAGCCTATACCTTTAAACTTGATATCAACATTTAATATTCTTCATTGTGTCTCACGCCATTAGTTTCTAAGTGTAGGTTTCACTATAAATTTAGGTTTGGCTTAGCGATTTCTTCATCTATGTACATAAATAGAGGTATTCACATGAAGGTTTCATTCTTTTCTACATTTGCATCTTAAACATCTAATCTTATACTAGCTGGTTTGAGTTTATCAGTATGTACAATTTTCATTTTCTTTCCTTCGAGAGCAATTTCTACGTTATAATCGTCGTAAACCCTAATAATTTTATAAGGGCCTAGCCAGCTTGCATCAAATTTATCCTTTTTAGGTTCCTTCATTAAATAAACAAAATCATCAACTCGAAATTCGCATGGATTGGTTCCTCTATCATAATATTTCTTACTCTTTTCTTTCGCCATTTTTAGATTTTCGGTGGCAGACGCTTGAGTGGTAGTAATCTTCATAAATAGATCGTCTAAATACTCGATGAACGTACGTTCGATACGTTCATGGGCAAATTCGGATGGGATGATCGCCTTTTTACCGAAGACGAGCTCGTGAGGGGTGAATTGTGTGCTTTCGTGAACTGCCGTATTGTAAGAAAACATGCCGAACTTGATCCACTCATCCCAATCTGATTTTTTACAATAATGTTTCAAATAGTCAGCGAATACGCGGTGAGCGCGCTCAATGGAGCCTTGTGATTGTGGGCGAAAGGCGGTGGACGTGATTTTCTGGATTTTGAAAATTTTGCAAAA